TCACAGATGCTGCCAGACCTGCTGAGCTTTTCCAGCAACTTTGTTTTTGTTCCTGATTTACAGCATCCGCAGTTCTTTTGGTTTTTATGACAATATTATGAACCTTTTTTTAAGAATGTAAATGTAATTTTAAAAGCTACATTTTAAAAAGACAGTCTCAGTAGCTCCTGAGGACCACCGTATATTTTGCATTTTGGAATGTCTTATCTCTCGAAAGGTCAGATACTTTTTATTGTGACTCTTTCTAAGTTATGTATTGGATAGACTAGGCCTCTTGACAGTTGGAGTAAAAGTGCAGATGTACATTTTGGAAAAAAATAGGCGGGAGCAGAATTCAAACTGATTTATTCCACTATTACAATATTTGAACAATGTCTCGACATTGTGTGTGAATTCACATGCAGGTTTTGCTCCCTGTTAAAATATATATTAGCAGAAATTCAACCTGACTGCCAGTCAGGAATCCTGCAAAGAGAGAGAGACTTGAAAATAAAATTATCATGGCTGTAGTCCACTAAGCAACTGTAGGCATAGAGACCTCCAACATGGAGACAGGCCCTTTGGCCCAAATGCTACACGCCGACCAAAATATCCATCCACACTAACCCCACTTGCCTGCACTTGGCCAATATCCTTCTAAACCTTTCCTATCCATGTATTCATCCAAATGCTGTTAACGTACTCGCCTCAACCACTTCTGCTGGCAGTTCATTCCATATGTGTACCACCTTTTTTTTTTTAAAGAAAAGATGTTGCCCCTTAGGTTCCCATGTATTCTTTCCCCTCTTAGCTTAAACTGATGCCATCTAGTCCTTGATTCCCCAACCCTGAGAAAAAGACTGCGTGCATTTACCCTATCCATGCCTCTCATGATCTCATACACTTCTAGAAGATCCCCAGCCTCCTATGCTCTAAAGAAGGAAAGAAGAGGCTCATCCAACCTCTCCCTATAAACTCATACCCTTGAGTCCTTGCAACATCCTTGTAACTTTCTTCTGCACTCTTTCCAGTTTAATAACATCCTTCGTAGAACAAGGTGACCAAAACTGAACACAGTACTCTAAGTGCAGCCTCAACAATGTCCTGTACAACTGCAACATAACTTCACAACTTCTGTACTCAATGCCCTGATTGAAGACCAGTGTACCAAACACCATCTTCACTGTCTTGTCTACCTGTGACTCCACTTTCAGAGAACCGTGTATCTGAACTCCAAGGACCCTCTGTTCCACTGCACTCGTAAGGTTCTACCTTTCACTATGAAACTCCTACCTTGATTTGACTTTCCAAAATGCAACACCTCCCACTTATCTATATTAAACTCCATTTGCCATTTCTCAGTGCGTTTCCAGCTGATCAAGATCCTGCTGCGATTTCTGATAACCTTGCTCACTGCCCACAATACCACCTACTTTAGTGTCATCCACAAACTTACTTATCATGCCTTTTACACTTTTATCCAAATCATTGATCTAGATAACAAATAGCAATGGGCCCAACACCGACCCCTGAGACACACCACTAGTCACAGGCCTCCAGTCCAACAAGCATCCTTCCACTATTACTCTCTGCTTCTTACCATCAAGCAAATTATGTATCCATTTTGCTAGCTCTCCCCGGATTCCATGCGATCTAACCTTTCGAGTGGCCTACCATGTGGAACCTTCTCAAAAGCTTTACTAAAATCCATGTAGACTATGTCTACTGCCCTGCCCTCATCAACCTTCCTGGTCACTTCATCAAAGAACTCTAACAAATTTGAGATGCATGATCTCCCACGCATTAAGTCATTCTGACTACTCCTAATCAAACTGTCTTTGTAAATACATGTATTTCTTTAGTTGAGAAGATTCTGAAGCGTCTTACTTACCACAAATGTTAAGCTTACTGGTCTATAATTCCCAAATTTTTCTTTGCAGCCCTTCTTGAGTAAGGGCACAACATTTGCTACCCTCCAGTCTTCCAGGACGTCACCCGTATCTGACAGTGATGCAAATATATCAGCCAGGGCACCCATAATTGTTCCCCTAGCCTCTTGCAGGATTCTTGGATATATCTGATCAGGACCAGGAGGTTCATCCACCTTCATTCCAATAATTCCAACATCACTTCTGTGATATGGACTTGTCCCTAAGATATCGCCACTAACATTCCCAAGTTGCCATGTCTCTCTCCATGGTAAACACAGGAGAGATATTCATTTGAGGACCTTGCCTATCTCCTGCACTTCCACACATTATGTCCACTTTGGTTCTTGAGGGGGTCCTAATCTCTCTCTCGTTATTCTTTTTCCTTTAATATACTCAAAGAATCTCTTTGGATTCACCTACAATCTTCTCAGCCAAAGCTATCTCGTACCCCCTTTTTCGCCCTCCTGTATCCCATATATACTTGCAGGGATTCCCTTGATCCCAGCTGCCTGTTCTTGAGTCAGGTCTCTTTTTGTTTTTTTTTTTCTGGTCAAAGCCTCAATGTCTCTTGTCGTCCAGGGTTCCCTACTCCTGCCAACCTTGCCCTTCACCCTCACAGGAACATATAGACCTTGAAGTCTAGCTATCAAACTTTTAAAGGTCCCACTTGCTAGAGGTTCCTTTGCCTGCAAACAAGCTACTCCAATCAACCCCTGTAAGCTCCTGGCTAATTCCATCAAAATTTGCCTTGTCCCAATTTGGGACTTGAACCTGTGGACCAGTTTTGTCTTTCTCCAGAACTATGGTCATTGGTCCCACAGTGCTGCCCCCACTGTCACATCAGTCACCCGTCCTGCCCTATTTCCCAGGAGTAGGTTGAGTTTTGCCCCTTCCTGAGTAGGACATTCTATGTACTGCTTGAGGAAACTTTTCTGAACGCATTTAACAAATTCCACCCCATCTAAGCCCTTAACACTATGGCAGCCCCAGTCTATGTTAGGAAAATTAAAACCTGCCACTTGGACAACTTTATTTCTCCAAGTCTCTGCAATCTCCCTGCATATTTGTTCCTCTAATTCCTATTGACAATTTGGGGGCCTATATAGTACAACCTCAATAACTTCACCATCCCCTTCCTTTTTCTTAGCTCCACCCACAAAGCCACATCGGATGATCACTCCGTTATTTCATCTCTGATTACTGCTGTGATACTCCCCTTAATCGAAAATCAACTCCCCCCTCCCCTCTTTCCTCCACCTCTGCCTCGCCTAAAGTACCTGGACCCTGGCACATTAAACTCCCAGTCCTGTCCCTCCCTTAGCCATTTTTCTGTAATGGCTAGAATATCCTAGCCCCACGTACCTATCCACGCCCGGAGTTCATCGGCCTTACTTATCAGCCCTCTTGCATTGAAATAGATTCAATTTAATCTAACAGGCGTTCCTCGCTCCCTGTCCTGTTCCAGCCTGACCTGTTTCTTCAGCTTGCTATTTCTGATTACTGTATCTCCTTTCAGCCTCCTTACTGCTGAGGATTCCATTCCAAACCTCCCCTACCCCCCCCTCCCCGACCGGACTAGTGTGCCAAACTACCATATCTTGAAAAAGAACCTCTAACCTGTTCCAGCTTCAAGTTCACCTCAGAATTCTGATTCTGGGCAGATCAACTTCAAGAAACATCACCATGACTGAGCAACGTTTGCAATTTCAAGACCTCTCTAGCCAAAATATCTATCAACTGAACTCAGAAACATGAGGCCCGCATCAAAATGAAGCACTGTTGAGGGAAAGTCAAGTCAGTGAGATGCTAGAGTTTTGTTTATCTGTTTGGCAAGTGTGAGAAAGATAACAAACCTCCTTTATTTCAAGTATGCAAAAGCTTCTTGTGTTATGAAGGGCAAATAAAAAAAAAAAAGTCTAAGAATTGTCTGCTAGAATTGTTCAAAATCAAAACCTGTTTTAAAAGAATAACCTAGGTCAAACTTTTCAATGGCAGGAGAGCTGGTAACCATTGCACATAGATTTATGCTGACAGGCAAAACAGAACAGGTGCGATGTAAAGTAGCTTGCTATTTTTGTGCTGTATTTGTTGTGATCTCAAGTTCAGAAGTGATTGAAGAAAATTTAGTAGTAACATTGACAAATGCATTGGTTAAATTCTTGAAGGGAAATTACTTTACGCGGGAAGGTCAGGCGAGTGGGAACATTTGGATAGCTGTCTTTGAGGTAGCACAGGCATGATGGCACAGTAGTCTCTTGTACCATTCTAGTTGATCATCTGAGCCATTTATTTGATTTGTAACATTTCATACAATGAATAAAAGTCCCATATTTGCTGCTTAATACCAAATATGGAGAACTCCACTCTTTTTGTAATGGTATTCATATGTTTGCCCTTGTTGTCAGTGGTGATTTCATCAAGGCAGCTCATTTTTTGTATCAACATTAATTGTAAATTATATTAAAAAATACAGTAATAAAACTCACTAAATGTTTGTTCAATATGAAGCATTTGTTCTGTTTTGACTGTGTACCATGTTCCCATGTATTGTATATACTTACCATTGCATGCTATATTTTGCTATTATTTTGACACTGTCACTTCTACTAATTTTTTACTTGTAGATACCCAGCGAGCTTTGCTGGCTGTGGAACGGTTACAGGCAAAGCTACGAGAAAGAGGGGATACAGCAAATGAGGAGAGACTGAGTTTATTGAGATCTGTGCTACAGAGCCCACTCTTCAACCAAATCCTGAACTTGCGGAGCTCTGTTCAACATTTGAAAGATCAGGTAAAAGACAATGTTGCATAAAGGAAACGTTAAAAGTTGTTTACTTTGAGTACTGAGTGCATTATTGGTGTTTTGTCTCAACTGTCATTGATAATTCAAATCCAAAATATACAAAACTGAGATTATTAATTTAATGTATTGATTGCCTGCCTTTCTTGCTGAAATATGGCTCAAATAAACATAAACAAATGAGCGTGTCTTTGAATAGTTAACAAAACATTTCTAAAGGGCCAGAATATATCAATTTCATTTGGTGACCATTTTCTAAAAGGATTCCATGATGAAGGTGAACAAAAACTACTTGAATTTAAAGAGAGCAACTTGCGTTCATACAACTTCTGTCGATTCAGGTAATTTGGCTGACAAAGTATGTTCGAAGTTGCAACTGCTGTTGTGAAGCAGGAAATGTATTCATTGTTTTTAATGTAACAAACCTTCTGGTGAAGGGTAGACTTGAGAAAGAGTAAAAGAAAATTAAAATCTAATGGTTTTGTTGAAAGAAGAATGATGGATGAGGGAGAAAGGCTTAAGCTTTTGATGAGTTAGAATTTCTGAAATAAAGAGCAGAAGCATTTGGGGAGAGAAAGAAGCGACAAAATTATGGTTAACCATGGCGTATGGTTTCGTGGTATTGGAGGTGATATTGGACTAGTGATATCTCAACGTGAGCACTTGAACTAATAACATCAGTTGACATTTTTTGTAGCCACCCCTGCTTGGAGATCATCATCTGTCATGGTATGCCATGCTTGTCTGCATTGCAAACATGTGAATTAAGAGTAGAAGTATGCCATTCGGCAGCTTGAGCCTGCTCCATCATTCAGTAAGATCGTGGCCGATCTGTTTTGGATTTTGATTTCCATTTTTCAACTAATCTCTGATACCTCTTGATTCAACTGGCTAATAACGATCTGTCTTGCTCTACCTTTAAAAGTATTCAGTGAGTCTCTACCTGCCTCCAATGATTTCTGAGTGGCAGAGAGTTCCAAAATCTCTCAACTCCTCAAATTTTCCTCATCTGGCCTGAATGCGAGATTCCTAATTTTAAACAGTGCTCCCTACACTTTGCCTTGCTCATAAGAGGAAACATCATTTTCTATTTACACCTTGTCAAGGCCACTTAAGCCTCTTAAATACTTCAAGTCACTCTGCATTCTTTGGAAATCATGAGGAAGCAAGCAGACCCTTCCTCAAAGATACTTGCTTGTTCCAGAATCTGTATAGTGAACCTTCTCTGAACTGTGTCCAGTACACTTGCATCATCTTATAAAGGAGACTAAAACTGTACACAGTATTACAGATATCCTGAATAACTGAATCTAAATCCTTATTTTTGTACTGGACATAAAACATCAAAACTGTGGATGCTGAAAAAGTAAACAAAACCAGAAATTTCTGGAACAACTCAGCAAGTTTGTTGGCATCTGTGGAGTGAAAGTAAGCAGCTAATGTTTTGGGTCCACTGACCCTTCATCAGAACTAATTTGCAGCATAGGAAATGTTCGTATTTATGCTGGAAAAATGGTGGAGCAGTAAATGATAGGTGACAATCGAACCAGAGAAGGGGAGCGAAATCTTTTTCAGGGTTTAATCTTGGATTTAATTTTGGGGCCTGAGCCTCCTATGTCCTGACCTCAGCACCCCTCCCCCCAACCCAACTACCAGATCTTGTCATCACTTGGGCAGCTAAGGGTGGCATGACTGCTCATTGATTAGCACTGCAGCCTCACAGTGCCAGGGACCCAAGTTTTATTCAGCCTTGGGTGACTGTGTGGAATTTGTACACTCCCTCTGTGTCTGCCTGGGTTTCTACTGGGTGCTCTGGTTTCCTCCCACAGTCCAAGGATGTGCAGGCTAGGTGGGTTAGCTATGGATTTTTAAAAAAAACTTATGGAAATAGGATGTGGGGCAGAGTCTAGTTTGGATGCTCTTAAAGGGTCAGTGCAGATTTGATGGGTTGAATGGCTTCATTCCGCACTTAGGAATTCTATAATTTCTAACCCATTGTCAACCACTAATAGTCCCCATTAGCAGCTGTTGATTCTCGCAGGCAGACCTTGACCCATTCCTTTATCTGCTGAACTGTTTGTTTCTGCCCCATCTTGCATGCACCCTCTTGGCTTCATCTCCACCTATAGTTTACTTCTCACCCCTCCCATCCTGTGGGACTCTACCCATTACGTTCTTCCAATCAGACAAAGGCACATTCATACAGACTGTTTGTTTGTTTTCTGCTAGCCAGCTAATCATCTTTCCATACTAATGTTACTCCCTTTCATGAGCTCCTGTTTTGTTCAATTATCTTTGTGGCACCTTGTCAAATGCCATTTGGGAATCCTAGTACAGTACAGCTTTTTTTTTTTTGTTTTGTATTCACACATGGGATGTGGGCATTACTGGCTGGCCAACATTGATTGCCCATCCCTAGTTTCCTTTGAGAAGATGGTGAGCTGTCATCTTGAAGCCTGCAATCCAAGTGTTGAGGTTGGCCCACAATGCCCTTTTGACTCGGTGACTGTGAAATAATGGCAATATATATCCAAGTCAGGATGGAGAGTGGCTTTGATGGACCTTTCAGGTGGTGGGATTCCCATTTATATCTGCCCTTGTCTTTCCAGTTTGAAAGGTGCTGTCTTATGAGGAGCTTTTGAATTTCTGTAGCACATCTTGTAGATGTAGCAGCATTGTGTAACAAGTTATCAGTGGTGGAGGGAGTGGAGGTTTGTGGATGTGGTGCCAAACAAATGGGCTGCTTTCATTGAGCTTCATTTACTGTTGTTGGAGCTGCATCCATTTCAGGCAAGTAGGGAGTATTCTATCACTGACTTGTGCTTTGTCGATAGTGGACAGGCATCTGGGCATTAGGAGGTGAATTACTGGCAGCAGTATTCCTAGCTTCTGACCTGCCCTTGTGGCCACTGTTTGTGATGAGGCCAGTTGAGTTTCTGGTTGTCGGAGTGTTTTTCCCAACCTGGGACAAAGACTCAGGAGGCAGGCAGGATTTAGGCAAGTGGAAAATGTTTATTCGAGCAGAAACCGGTTTGATGCAGGGAGAGGGCCAATAGATCTTCCCAGAGTCTGGCTTTGGAACATAGATCAATGACACCCTCTGCTTTTACAAAGAAATACAGCATTTTTATATATTTTGTGTTACAGTAATCAATTACAACGCAGTCCTCATCCTTTCCCCTTAATTCAAACACCCAATCCCGTGGGACACGTAATCGGTGATGGTCACTTCCTTGGACAGCTCCAGGTTCCCATGTTCTTATGGTATTAACTAGACATTGTACTCTGTACTCTGTAGGTATGTGATCTTCCTATGTATCCTATTCATTCGCATTTCAAAAGTTTTTAATGGCTATACTCCTTCAGGTCTGTCTTAGGCTTGTTCATCTATCTGTAAGGACAGTTCAAATTCTATTACCCATGGTGTTTTGGTGCTGTCTTTTATCATATTCAGTTACTCCTTTTTATTTTCCCACTGTTGCAATTACATTTGTAAAAATTAAAAAGTCAGTTATTTTTAACTAATTGCTTTAAGGAAAACCTCTGTTATAAAGTTAATTGAGTGAAATGTTATTCAACTACTTCTAATGTCAGCATTTTGTAATTTTATGGGTTTTGATCAATCGATGTTGTTTCGGGCATAAGAGAAGGTGTCTTCTAAATCTAGTTAATCTTTACATCTAAGCTTGAATGTTTGTTTTCTTTTAAGGCTTGTATTTATATCCTGGTTATCTATTGAAACCAACTTCGATGATTAGGGCATTTTTAGCTAGAAACTGTTTAATATTGCTGGTAGCTTCAAAGAGGCAACTATTTACTACAAAATAATTTTAGCTGTTATCGTTGTAGCTGCTTGAGGACCTAATCTAGCACCTGACATTATTCATTTACTGGGACAGTCACCCTTTTTTTAATAAAGCTGGAATCGGTCATTTATCTGTCCTAAGGCATCCTTTTATCTGAACTATCTCAGATAGGAACATACAGCATTCCTTTACTGACCTTCTAGCAGTTCTGTTCAAAGGTACCATTGTATTTCACTATATGAGCAGGCTGCTTAGTTTTGCTAAGCTTTTATCTTGTAAACAGGAATGGGCCGCTTAGTGTGTTTTAGTACAAGCCACCTTACATGGGCAGTGCAGGGCACCCCTACACTGGTCAATCATAAGGCCCAGGATATTGACAGTGGGGGATTCAGTGATGGTAACACCATTGAATGTCATTGGGCAATGGTTGGATTGTCTCTTTGTGATTGGTCATAGCCTGGCATTTGTGTGGCATGAATGTTACTTGCCATTTGTAAACCTAAGCCTGGATTGTCTGGATCCTGTTGCATTTGGAGATGGACTGCTTCAGTATCTGAGGAGTTGCAAATGTTGCTGAACGTTCTGCAGTCATAGGCACATATCCCTGCTTCAGACCTTTTTGGCAAAGGGAAAGTCATTGAAGCAGCTGTTTGGGTCTAGGAGACTACTTTGAGGAACTCCTGGGATGATTGACCTTCAGCAGCCACAACTGTCTTCCTATGATAATGAGATAACAAGGTGTGGAGCTGGATGAACACAGCAGGCCAAGCAGCATCAGAGGAGCAGGAAAGCTGACGTTTCGGGCCTAGACCCTGCTTGACCCAAAACGTCAGCTTTCCTGCTCCTCTGCTGCTTGGCCTGCTGTGTTCATCCAGCTCTACACCTTGTTATCTCAGATTCTCCAGCATCTGAAGTTCCTACTATCTCTGAAACACTCTTCCTATGTGCAGGTACGATTCCAACCAATGGAGAGTTAGCCCCAAGACATGTTAATTCCAATTTTGCTAGGGTTTCTGATGCCACGCTCCATCAAGTACAGCCTTAATGTCAAGTGCCGTCAACTCTTGCCTCCCCTCGGCTGTTTTATCCATGTTTGAACCAAGGTGTTGTGGACCAGACCAGACCAGACCTGCTCAAAATATATTAAGAATGTTGCCAAGATTCTAACTTTTTTTAAAGGTAGAT